CCAGTTACTTTCCATGTCATTGAATTTCCTGGAAACATAAGCTAAGGGGTACAACATCGCCCCTGCTTCCTTCTCCCAAACTGACCAGTTACGTTCTGTGTCATTGAATTTTCTGGAAACATAATTAAGGGGTGCAACTGGCCATCCTCCCCTTCCTGTAATATTGCCTCTCCCATAGCAACATCAGATGCATCAGTTTGCACAATGAATTTTTTTGTTTCATCGGGGTGGGCGAGCACTGGTTCGGAGGTGAATAAGGCCTTTAGGCGGTCGAGCGCGTTTTGACACTCATTGCTCCACGGGAGCGTGGCGCTCGGCTTTGTAGCCTCCGGGCCCTTCCCCTTAGTTTTTAGGAGGTCTGTGAGGGGTAAGCTGACCTGGGCAAAGTTGGGTAAAAAGGTTCTGTAAAAGTTCGCAAAACCGAGGAAGGATTGGAGCTGTCGTCTGGTTCAGGGTACCTCCCAACCCACCACATCTTTTACCTTCCCCGGGTCCATGCCTAGGCCCCGGTCAGAGATCCAATATCCCAAGAAGTCAATTTGCGTTTTGTGAAATTCACATTTGGACAGTTTGGCAAACAGTTTGTGCTTGTACAACGTGGTTAAGACCTCCCTCACCAATTTCACGTGGGAAGGCAGGTCGGGGGAGTACAGCAAGATATCATCAAGGTAAACAAGCACCCCCTTGAACAAGTGCTTGTGTAATACTTCATTGATTAAGTTCATGAAGACCCCCAGGGCCCCCTGAAGGCCGAAAGGCATCACCCGGTATTCGAATTGACCCAGGGGGGTGTTGAAAGCGGTCTTATGTTCGTCCCCTTCCCTGATGTGCACCCGGAAGTAGGCATCTCGAAGGTCTAGCTTGGAGTATATTTTCCCTTTGGCCGCTTCCGCGAGCAAGTCTTTAATCAAAGGCATGGGATAGGCACTAGTAGACGACACTGCATTTAAGCCCTGGTAATCCGTGCAGAGTCTTAGCCCCCCATCCTTTTTTTTCAGAACAGCACTGGGGCAGCGAAGGGGGACGAAGCCGGTCGGATGAACCCTCTGGCTAAGTTCTTGTCAATGAACTTGCGCAGTTCTTCCTTTTCGGCCGGTCCCATTGCATAGATGCGCCCCTTTGGCAATTTCTGCCCAGGAAACAGTTCAATGCTACAGTCTGAATGTCTGTGAGGGGGGAGCTCATCCACTTCTTCCTCCTCAAACACTCTAGCCAAGTCCCTATACTCAGGTGGAATAGTTAACAGCTCCTCCTGAGCCAGGCACACACAAGGACCAGTGTTCCCTCTAAGCTGAGTTAGTGTGAGTTAGCTCACAGTTTTTTAGCCTCCGGCTCACACATTTTTGCCTTTGCTCAGGAAGGGATGGCTCCAGAACAAACTAATTGATGCAGCAGCCAAATAGCTCACTCACAACTTTAATGCCAGTCGCTCACAAAGTAGAATTTTTGCTCATAAGACTCCACAGCTTAGAGGGAACATTGGCGCCAGTTCGGGTCCCATCAGTGGCTTTGGCTCTTCGGAGAAATGAACTGTACTTTCCCCTCATCCCACAAGATGTAGGGGTCGTGTCCGTGCAACCATGGGGCCCCTAGGACTAAAGGGAACCTGGCGGTTGAGGTGATCACAAATGCTCTATTCTCCTACTGTTCCCCTGCCCCAATCCGCAATGGCACAGTCTTGTACTCGCATGGGTCTTTCATTGTAGAGCCGTCCATTTGGGTGAATATCAGGGGGTCTTTTAATTTCACTACCCCAGCCTCTAACCCAGTAACCAGGGAGGGGTTGATGAGGTCCCTCCTGCACCCTGAGTCAATTAGTGCTCTCACCCGGATATGCGTGCCGAGGCTGGGGTTAATAAAAGTCACAGTCACGAAAAAGAGGGAGGGAAAACTGCTCACCACATTAGGCGCCTCTGGGATCGGGTCCTGCTGCTCCGTGCCTCTTACAGCAGGACCAATCCGTTTCCCGCCGGCTCGGGGTCCTCTCCACTGGATTCCGCCTCCTCTTCCTCGGGAGCCGCTTGCAATGCTTTGTCATATTTTGGCTTCCCAGTCGCCTTCTTCGCTGGCGTGGCGGGGTGCACTCGGGTTGGTTCACTGGGCCCCTGTTTCACAGGCCCTGATCCGCCGCAATTGGCCGCGAAATGGCCCCGCTCCCCACATTTCAGGCAAAGCCCCTGCCTCATGTGCTGCTCCTGGTTCGACTCCACTGGCCGTGGCGCTTTCCCTTTCGTTGGTTGAGGGGTCAGCCGACTCCCTGCCGTCACAATGTCCAGCCGGAGGGTTTGCAGGCGGGTTTCCGTGCTCTCTGCCTCTTGCATCCAAGCTAGGAGGGATACAGGATCAACTGCTCTCGGGACTGTCTCCCGAATCTCCGGGTTCAGTCCCACTTGGTATAGTTCCTCCAACACCTGATCAGGCCAAGATTGCACTTTGGCCACGTGGAGCTTGAATTCCGATGAGTATTCCCTCACCTATCGCCTCCCCTGTTTAAGGGTTCGTAGAAACACCCTCGCTTTGGGCCCGGCATTCCGGACTTCAAATTGGGCTCGCAACGCCCACATAAAAGCATCCAGATTACTCAATTCCGGGCCCTGGGCGTTGTGCAGCCCCACATACCAAGCCGCCGCGGGTCCCCGGAGCAAGGGAACTTTTACCTTTACCTTTACCAGCATCATGTGTGCAGGAGTATGAGGGCACTATGGGAGACACCTGCTGCAGAGACGTGTGTCTCCATGGACGGACGGCCGTGTGTAGGGAGGGAGAGGGCAGCTCTCAGGTTAAGACAAAGAGAGGCATCCTCTTCAGGCTGTATGGGGCCTCACTGGTCACTTGAGTAGGAGCAGCAGACACCACGAGTATGCAGGGGGAAGGAGGAGGATGGAAATGGCACCATCAAGTGGCCTACCATTGCAACCAAGCACAAGAGAGGCTCTCCTGCTGTGGCAGGTCAGCAGTGGTCCTTCCTGTGGCTCTTGGGGCTCAGCAGCTGTCCCACAATGCCAACCCCTGACGCTGGCTCTGCAAACAGGTTTGAAACTGGTTTGTAGTGTAGATGAAGTGTAGTGGTACAGAGACATTGACCCGAGACCCTTGTGCACATGATTTTCAGTAGATAAGCAAATGCAGATTGTGTATCTAGGTGGGGGGGTTCTGACCCGGGGGCGAGGGGCTCTTGTTCCTGTGTCCTTCACTCTCCCTAAATAGGCGAGGTGATCTGAAGATAAGGATTGCCTTAATTAGGGATGCTGCATAAATTAGTATAAAATATAGCCCATCATTTATACGGGGTTTTAATTCACTGCTCAAGGTACTTCACATGTTTTATCACAGTAATTCTTGCAGTACTTGGTGTAGTGATTAAATGTGCGGACTCTAATCTGAGAGAACCAGGTTTGATTTCCCACTCTTCCACTCGCAGCTGCTTGATGACCTTGGGCAAGGCATAGTTCTGTCAGAGCTGTTCTCTCAAGGACGGTTCTGGAAAGAGCTCTCTCAGCCCCATCTACCTCATAGGGTGTCTGTTGTGGGGAGGGGAAGGGAAGGGAAAGGAGTCGGTAAGCTACTCTGAGACTCCGAGTGAAGGGCGGGGTGTATAAATCCATCCTCCTCCTCCTCCTTCCTCAGTTTTATTTCCCAGTGGCTACCCAAAGTGGATTACAAAAATACAATTTAAATAACATAAACAAGAACGATAACGTAGAATAAACTGCAGTAGGAGCCACAATAAAGATTACAACAAATTACAGTGGACTTCATTTTAGGTCCCCCGACCCAGATGTCTCAGCCCAGCCCGATCTCATCAGGTCCTCGAAGCTAAGCAGGATTGGCTCTGGTTAATATGTGGATGGGAGCCCACCAAGGAGGTCCAGGGTTGCTACGCAGAGGCAGGCAATGGCAAACCACCTCTGAACTTCTCTGGCCTTGAAACCCTACAGGGTTGCCAAAAGCTGGCTGTGAGTTGATGGCACTTTCCACCGTCATATCCTGAGTGAATCCTGAATCCACACAGCCAGAGCTCTCAGGATTCCAGGTTTTGAGCCAAGAGCCCTTTGGCGCTTGACCTTCTGCTCCCACGAAAACAGTCTTGCTCCTGGCCATGCTCAGGTATTCACAACGGGAAGGGAAACAGAAGCACAGCTTAGATGTCATGCAGCTTTCCGAGATGCTCCCGAGAATTCTCTTCCTTCAGCCCCTGCCCATTACTGATGGTGATGTGAGAGGAAGGGGTTTGCCTAAGGCCACTTGGTGAGTCTGGGGAAGAGGTGATGTTTGAAAGGGCAGCTGCTTGGCTCACAGCTCTTAGCAACTAGACTACACCGGCTGCTGTGGAACCTACAAAAGTGGTTCTGAAACCAGCAAGATGAATTTCCAAAGGGGTATGTTTAGAATAGGGGTAAACTTAATTAAGTGACTGGAACCTTCAAGACTAACACATGCCTTTTGGCCAAAGTGTTCACGGGCTACAGAGCATGCTTCATCCGACGGATGAAGGTTCAGCAAGATCTAGTCCACAGAAGTTCTTGTGGCAATCAAGCAGGTAGTCTTCAGGGTTCCACAGCACTCTTTGCTGGCCTTTGCTACAGCCCAGGAGCAGAGCTCCTCTAACCTGGATAGCCCAGGGTAGCATGATCTCATCAGATCTCATAAGCTAAGCAGGATGAGCTGTGGTTAGTGTTTGGATGGGAGACCACCAAGGAATACCAGGGCTGGGACGCAGAGGCAGGGAGTGGCAGAACCATCTCTGAATATCTCGTGCCTTGAAAACCTGATGGGGTCGCCACTAGTCCAGTGTGACTTGGTGGCAAAAGAGAGAAAGCAGCCAAGCTGCTGTTCGAGAGAAGAACTGGAGTGGGCAGGTTCTGAGTGACAGGGAAGGTCCCAACTAGTCCCGAGGGTCGACTGTCTTTGGCCCGGCCTCGGGACTGCCCGGTCATTGATTCTCTTATGCCACCTGAATGGGAGTGATTGGCTGAAAGCTCTCTGCTTCTCTCTTCCAGGAAATGCTCCAGGAGAAAAGCTTGTCCGAAGCAGAGGACGGGTTTGTGGCACCCCAGGCCCCGGGCCATGCGGAAACAGCAGCCGGTTCCCCAGTCCTTGGCGTCGCGGGAGTCAGCAACACGCCTCTGAGCAGCCCGCAGGGTCCAGATCCGGAGCAGGTATGTACACGATTTCAGTACTGATTTTATTAAAAACCTTTCTATCCTGTCTTATGTTCTCAGGCGCGAGGCAGCTAACCATGGAAACAATCAGGTGGCGAGGAGGTGTCAGCTAGCTGCTATTTTTCATGTGTATGTGTCCTTTCCTGACTGTGGCGCTACGGCGCATGCTTGCTCGCTGTAAACAGCAATAGGGAGGCGCTCATGAGACTGTGTGAACTGGCGCTGCCATACTGGGTTATCTGACTATCCTTGAGGAAGAGGGAGGGCTTGCGTTCCACCATTGGTGGGAATCTTTCTGCTCTCATGAGGCACGGAGACTCTCCCGTTCATTATGTAACCTCCCGCTGGGAGAATTCCCGCGTGCGTGCTTGGATTTCATTTGCACCATCACGCTATATGAAGGGATGCATCCACCCCATTGTCATTCCTAACAATATCCCTGTAGACCATGGCAACGGACCTGTAATCTAATAAAGCATAACGCTTCCCTGGAATCCTGTGTGGAGATTTACTTGCTGTTGAACCTGACAGGAGGATACGGAATATACCAGCCCCACTGGCAAGCTTTAAATTCAGATTAAAATACACAAAATATAAATGAAAAATGTAAAAAAAGAAAAGAAAAATGTAAGAAAAGAAAAGAAAAAGGCACACCCAGATTTTTATTTAAAGCACACAGAATTAGAATCAACACATCCAAATCTGCTCCACCAAATGCTTTCTAAAATAAAACGGTTTCCCATGCCTTCCTACAGAGAGCCAGTTTGATGTAGTGGTTAAGTGCGCGGACTCTAATCTGGGAGAACCGGGTTTGATTCCCCACTCCTCCACTTGGACCTGGCTGGATGACCTTGGGCAAGCCGTAGTTCTGATAAGAGCTGTTCTTGAAAAAGAGCAGTTTCTGTCAAGAGCTCTCTCAGCCCCACCTGCCTCAGAGGGTGTCTGTTGTGGGGAAGGGAAGGGAAAGGAGTTTGTGAGCTGCTCTGAGACTTCTTTGGGTAGTGAAGGGCCATGGGGTATAAATCCCATCTCTTCTTCTTTTTCTACATTGGTTTCAGTTGAGGACAGTGACAGGTCCACACCTCATCTGGCAAACCCGCCCCCCACCACACTTTTCTGCCTCCCCCACGAGGCAGCGGCACAATCAGAAGTGTTTAGTGCCATCTGGTAATGTTTTAACTGTGTATTATTTCACTGTTTTGAACTGCTTTTGTTATTTATGTGTGTGTTATTGCTGTTCGCCACCCTGAGCCTTGTGTATACAGGGGAGGGCAGTCTAAAAGTCTAATCTATTTTTAAAAATGTAGTTTTAGGTGGGTAGCCGTACTGAAGAGCGAGATTTGAGTGAGATCTGAGTCCAGCTGCACTTTAGAGACCAAGAAGATCTCCATGGTACAAGCTTTCGAGAAGAGAGCTAAAGTATATAACCTGGGCAGTGTTCCCTCTAAGCTGAGTTAGTGTGAGCTACCTCACAGTTCTTTAGCCTCTGGTTCACACATTTCAGTCTTAGCTCAGGAAGGAGGGCTCCAGAGCAAAGTAACTGATGCAGCAGCCAAATCGCTCGTTCATAATTTTGATGCCAGTCGCTCACCAAGTAGAATTTTTGCTCACAAGACTCCACAGCTTAGAGCCCTTATTCGTTATTTTAATTTGTGTTTAATAAATACATGTATATTGTTTAGGTTTCATAATTAGATTTTAAGAGTTGGCCCTCTTCTATTCTTGACTAACCTTTATTGTCCCAACAGCCTTATTACATATCTGTTGGAAGAGTCTCATTGTTCTGAGTGGTTTGCTGCTATAGAAAGGAAAATCGTCTCAATAGGCTTATGCTTGAATGATATGATGTCCTTATCTGAAGTACACATCTTTGCCCTGCTCAAACAGAGATTAATTGATATTGAGATGCAAGAGCTTAGAGCCTTGGCTTCTGGTAGATGCTCCCCTTTAAGATGGGCACGTTTTCCGATCAACACCCCTGCACAATACTTATCGGATTTGACTTCTCCACAGCTGCGTAGAGCATTTATGCTGGCCCGCTTTAATGTGCTCCCCTCTGCGGTTTTAGCAGGAAGATTTAAGAAAATCACCTACTCTGTTAGGTTTTGTGGTTGTGATGCAGAGGAGATTGAAACAATCGAACACGTATTCCTCCACTGTAGTTTGTATGATGACATTCGGGCAGTCTATCTAGAAGCCATACTTAAGAAAGATGTCAAGCAATCAGATGACAGAATGTTGTACCGTTTATTGGCTTCACAAAATACAGTGGTTATTGAAGCGGTGGCTAATTTCTGTAGCTGCCTCATAATGAGGAAGCAGTGTGTTAAATCCATGAACTGAAGGGTGACTGTTTATGATTCTGATCCATGCCAATAAAGGTTTTGAATTGAATTGAATTGACTAACCTTTATAGGTTCTGAATTCTAGGTTTTAGGTTCAGTCTTCCCCCCCCTTTTTTGTTCTCACTGTGGAGTTATTACATCTACCAAAGGACAGGACTCACCACGGGAAAAGCCTGTGATCTCACCGCACCTATAAAGGAGGGCGCCTTCCCTTGCAAACATGTGATGCAAATTGAGTAGCCTGGCACAGAGCGCTCATAATTGAGTCCACAGTTGCCAAGCATGGGAAGGAGGCAGTTTCCAAATTCGGGACAACTGAGGCCCTTCTCCAATCACTGACTAAGCTGCTTGGAGAACCTCATTCCCAGTTTGACTTCTGAGATTTCACAGCCCGTGTCAGACTATGCCAGAGGAAGCTTGTGGTCGCAGACAGAAGCTTGGATTTAGTTGGGTTTTTAATAACAATTGCTGAGATTCTCTGGATGCTGAATTGGGTGGCTGGGATGAAACTCTGTCCTTGGGTTTCATAGTGACCTCATTTTCCATTGGTTGGTAAACTTGGGTTTGGGGTATACAGCTTCAGGTAGGGGAGGGGGGCTTACATGAACCCTTATCCCATGCCATGGCCCAGCTCTGCCTTAGGGGAGGGAGCAGTTGTGACTCAGCAATTTAAAAAAACAGCGCAGGAGATCCGGTCATAGATCTTGTCTTGTTTGATGCTCAGAATGAGGCCAGCAGTATCACAGAAGGGCAGCATGTGAACACCCACATCCTAAGGGCAACGGTCTTCCTCAGGACTCTCCTGTTCCTGAAATACTAGGGCTTTGGCCAATGCTCCCTCTAAGCCGTGGAGTCTTGTGGGCAAAAATTCTACTTTGTGAGCTACTGGCATTCAAGTTGTGAGCGAGCAATTTGGCCGCTGCATCACTTAATTTGCTCTGGAGCCATCCTTCCTGAGCTAAGACAAAAATGTGTGAGCCGGAGCAATTTGGCTGCTGCATCACTTAATTTGCTCTGGAGCCATCCTTCCTGAGCTAAGACAAAAATGTGTGAGCCGGAGGCTAAAAAACTATCAGCTAGCTCACACCAACTCAGCTTAGAGGGAACACTGGTTTGGGCTGTCTTTTGCTTCGTGATTTTGTCTCATTCCATCTTGCTTTTTGTTGTTGTTCAGTCGCACAGTCGAGTCCGACTCTTCGCGACCCCATGGACCAGATCACGCCAGGTCTTCCTGTCTTCCGCTGTCCTCTGAAGTTTGCTCAATTTCATGTTCGTTGCATCTATGACACTGTCTAACCATCTCATCCTTTGCCATCCCCGTCTTCTTTGACCTTCAATCTTGCTTTTATGCACAGCCAATTTCTGCACAGATCCCAAAGCCTGGCTACGATGAGATTTCATTTTCCAAAAGGAGGCTTCTCTCAAGTTCTGAACCTTTTCAAACTTGACTTTTTAAAAGTGCATTGGCCAGGTGGGACACTCTCCCGGGTGAGATCTGAGCCCTGCGGGGCTGAATGCAGATCCACAGGGCCTGCAAAACGGAGCTTTTCCCACCAGACCTACAGTTCTCTCCCCACCCCTTCCTTGCTTGCCCTGCTCCCCTGTATTATTTTAACATCTGTTGTTGCACTGGGGTGTATTATTCTAATCTTTTGGCTGCCATTGGATCTTGATATTAGACACTGTCCTTAATGTTAATTTAGATTTATTGACTTCAATATTTTTATTGTTATTGTTGGTACCCGCCCTGAGCCTGTTTGCAGGGGAGGGACTTACTGAATTGTCAGCATTCACTAATTTTATACCTGAAGAGGAGCTCTACATCACCACAAAAACTCCCCAGGTCTGTGGGCATCCACACCAGGTTGCCAAACAAAAATTCAACCCGGGTCTTAAGCACAGCTATTAGGAAGTCAGGCCATTGAATTAAGTGGGGCTTATTTCTGAATAAGCAGGCTTATGCCTGGAAAGGCATTGCATTTGGACTTTTCCAGCTGATTTGAATTGGTATCGTAATTATGCCTCAGGAGTTAGCTGTTCCATGCCCTTGTAAAAGGTGTAAACCTGGCCAGAAAGAAGGTGGCTTTCCATAAAAGGTTGCTAAAAGCTTAAAGAACTGAAAGCCACATTGAGCTAATCATTATTTTTTTTCCCAGGGAAGAGGAAAAATTCCTACAAATGGGTACTGGGGTATCTTAGCTTAGATGGTCAAATTTAAAAAAGATGGCATTAGCAGTGGCTATCACCTGTGATATGTAAATGGAACCTCCATGTACAGAGGCAGTATACAGCAAGTACCGGACTCGGGGGCCCGGCTTGTAAAACTTCCTGGAGGCATCTGTCTGGCCTAGGTGGACTCTTGGTCTGATCTGGAGAAGCAATTCCTATGGATCCTTTAAAATGAATTTTTCTGGTACCTATCTAGGAAGTCCTAGCAATCGGCAAACCACTTTATCTGAAAAAAGAGATAAATAATACACCAGCCTTTCTCCAGGTGGCAAGAATGTGTGTGTGGGGGGATCTATTTCATTTGAGGGCCCCCCCCCCGCCTTTTTACTGCTTGCAGTCTCAACACTGGAAGTTCCGGAGACTTTTGTTCATTCACACACTCCCCCTTGAATTTTTTAAAAAATCTTGTTTTATAGTCTTCTG